TTTTATGGTTTGTCACGCACGCTATTTGATAAATATGGATTATGAACTGCTCCAGATTATATGCATATGATTTACAGTAAAAATGTAGTTTTTACTTTTGTCCTTAACTATAGTCTTTTTACTTTTACTTACCTGAGTTTTTTTTTTTTGGAGTACTGGTATGATGTATTTTCTTTACTTTGTTTTATGGTTTGTCACGCACGCTATTTGATAAATATGGATTATGAACTGCTCCAGATTATATGCATATGATTTACAGTAAAAATGTAGTTTTTACTTTTGTCCTTAACTATAGTCTTTTTACTTTTACTTACCTGAGTTTTTTTTTTTACCATTATCAAGATTCCTACTTTAGTAGAGTGTGAGTACTTTTGCCAGCTCCGAACCTTGACATGTCTCAAAAACCCAGCAATAGGTTGCCAGTGATGTCAGTCCAAAGACAACAAAAATAAGAAGAGGCTTCGAAACCATTTCATCCAATCATTAGAATGCAATGGTTGGCAGCACACAGTGACAACTTGGCAGAGTTAGCCCCTCACCGGCCAGACAGGCACCCCATTAAGGCTGCCATTCTGGGGACTGGCTGAAAAATGTGCGCTGATCGACCCACAGCGACTGAGTCAGAAAAAGCCAAAGTGAGTGGTGCAGTGAGCAGCCTGATTTGGGCTCATTAACTGCCTGCTGTCACATGTGAACAACGGGCTCCCGTCGTCGGTGTGAGGGGCTGCTCGGGACATAAGTCACCAATACCTCTCACAAGGCACTGAAACGCTCTCACACAACTACCGGAAGGCGTTCGCTAACTACCGAAACATTCTCATGCACACTATTGAAATGCTCTCTTGCACCCCACCGAACTGCTTTCACACTCACCACTGAAACGCTAGCATAAACCCAACTAAAATGCTCCCTCACACACTGCTGAAATGCTCTCACACACACTCGAGATTTGTTTCAATCATATCAACTACGGAAACCGTTTCTCAAACGCGACTAAGACATTCACAGACACACTACTAAAACACACACATGCATTGATGATTTATTTATTTTTGCTCACATACACGACTAAAACACTCTCCTTCATGCTATGTAAACATTCACATCAGTCCAAAGACAACAAAAATAAGAAGAGGCTTCGAAACCATTTCATCCAATCATTAGAATGCAATGGTTGGCAGCACACAGTGACAACTTGGCAGAGTTAGCCCCTCACCGGCCAGACAGGCACCCCATTAAGGCTGCCATTCTGGGGACTGGCTGAAAAATGTGCGCTGATCGACCCACAGCGACTGAGTCAGAAAAAGCCAAAGTGAGTGGTGCAGTGAGCAGCCTGATTTGGGCTCATTAACTGCCTGCTGTCACATGTGAACAACGGGCTCCCGTCGTCGGTGTGAGGGGCTGCTCGGGACATAAGTCACCAATACCTCTCACAAGGCACTGAAACGCTCTCACACAACTACCGGAAGGCGTTCGCTAACTACCGAAACATTCTCATGCACACTATTGAAATGCTCTCTTGCACCCCACCGAACTGCTTTCACACTCACCACTGAAACGCTAGCATAAACCCAACTAAAATGCTCCCTCACACACTGCTGAAATGCTCTCACACACACTCGAGATTTGTTTCAATCATATCAACTACGGAAACCCTTTCTCACACGCGACTAAGACATTCACAGACACACTACTAAAACACACACATGCATTGATGATTTATTTATTTTTGCTCAGATACACGAATAAAACACTCTCCTTCATGCTATGTAAACATTCTCATTCAACTTTAATTTCAGTATATTATTTGAGCGCATTTCAGCATTGTGTGTGAAAAGATTTCAGTAGTGCATGTGAGGGCATTTTGCTAGTATGTATGAGAGCGTTTTAGTAGTGTGTGTGAGACGTAATCCTGAATGGTTTCCCTGATGATGATGTCAGTCAAATTTGCTTCTCTTCACCTCTGCGTAGCATCTTTAGTGATGGAACCTGAGGATGGAGGTCAAAAGACTGCGAGTTTCACTTCAGCAGGAAGTTTCCAGCGAGTGAACGGAAAAAGCTGATGTTTAACGCCTGTGGGCCAGAGGAGGACGATCAATGTTACGCACAAACAGTGTGACTTGATGTGGGGTAAGAGGTTTGATGCTAAACTAAGTGCAGAGAGCAGATAAAGATTGGTGAGCGAAAACATGTTCGGAGTGATAGTGGAAAGGTTACGTAATTCTGTGAATGCTTAAGGGCACCACTGTACTCACTACATTTCTCAAATCATTCAAACGTCAAAAGATTCACATATTTTAAGACATCTTGAGAACATTTTTTTGCACATTCACACAATGTCATACTATTGACAATAAAATTTCCAAGTGAAGCGATATTTCCACATTTCTTGACCGATGAACCCTTTTACCGCCAAATAAGCAAAATTGCAACAAGCAACATTTACAGTATGCCTTTCTCTCTAACCATTTTCAAGCTGTAACTTTTTGAAATACTGAATATTTGTATTGAAAAAAAATCTGGCACCAAAATATGTTGAAAGAGTTCAAACTTCTTGGCATCTATTTATGACGCTTGCCAAATTCCTAGATGTTCCCAATAAAATTCCCATGTGACTGAATATTTTACAAACAGTATTTACTTCCACCTTCTTGACCGTTTCAAACCATCCTGGACTGGACTGGATGCTAGTCAGTCACAGGGCACATGTAGAGGAAAAACAACTATGCATATGAACTCACCCTGCCAGCACCGAAATCAGGCATATGTACCACTACACCATCAGTGTCTCAATTCAAACCCTTCCAAATTCAACTCTTACATTCTATATTTGAATATTTCAATTTCAGCCCAGTGTCAGCTTTTAAAAATTACTGTGCAATTTCAAAGAAAAAAATAACATTGCATTCTCCATCTCTTTAAAAGAGTTAAGACAGTATACTCATCCCACACTCCATTAGATACAATTTCAGAATCTAATGTGATCCAATACAATGGTAAAGGACTGGCTTGGATTTGGGGCTTCCCCAGCCATGGAGCACAAGTTCTGCTGATGCAGCCTGGAGCAAAGCTATGACCGTAGTAGTGAAAAATACATCTATTTTTTTGTAAAGTCAGGCATTTGTTATCAAGACTTTCCATTCACTTGTGCAGATGTACTTAATGTTGTGGCCAGTGAGGTTTGGAATTTTGGGTGGTGACAGTGCCTCGACCTTGAGTCCTATGTATCACACAAAATACACCCGGTGGTGTATCAACAGCATACAAATGACACCTTATGAAATATGCTCAGACAGCAGAATGCTGATAATGATTACACAAGACGTCCATGATCTTATTTTAATCCCAAATATTATGAGTAACACGGTCTTGCGGGTTGTAAAAAAAAAAAAAAAAGAAAGAGATTACAAAAGGTGCTGTGTTGATATTACCACACAATTAACTGGCAGGGACTATGCCATTTATGACGGGCATCTTTTGTTTATTTGATACTGTGAACTCATTGTTATATTACAGATTTTATATTCTTGTCATAGCTATCGGTGTTTTATGATCTTTTTCAGTCAGTGATTTATGTTTCTTGCACTGATGGAGGGAGAAAAGATTCCACTGAGAAGTGCCTATTTGGATACAGATATTTTGGTGGCATAAACACTCGTCATAGGAATGGTGGTGGATTCATTACAGTCTGTTTGAAACGATAGAAGCTGTTGATTCTTTCTTGGCACCTTTTGCCACAGTGACAGTGGATATGGATCCACTGTATTAAGGTTACCATTGCTTACTGTACTATGCATGGACAGCTATGTGAACTGAATGCCTACAAAAATAATAGTGCGCTTCTCAGTGCTCGGTTTAGATAGGACTGGGTTAGAATCTTCATATCCTTCGTCACTCATGCCGCCAGACACAAACTTTTGTTCTGACTTTGACACACACTGACATTTTGAATGACATCAAGCTAAGCTTCAGGAAGTTTTCAGTATTGACTTACCTCACCGATAACTTCCCAAACAAATTTGTGACAGGTTGAGACATGCCAAGTAATAAATAAAACAATGAGCTGACTGGACAGTTTAATAGGCAGAAAATAATCTGCACACACTTATGGCTGTTTCGGCACCAAAGCATTACAGCCCACCTGTGAAAATCTCCGTATAACTGACACCTATTGCCATTTAAAAATAAAATTCTATTTATTTTATAAACCCAGAAAATTCTTCACAAAATGCTAATAAACATTCAGTGAACATTTGTTTCATGGTGAAATGGAGAAAAAGCGAAAAAATAAAAACAACAAACATGCAAATTTGCACTTGCCAAACAGTGAGCATGCGGGGGTTGAATATATCAATTAGTGAAAAAATATGAACGTGCAAAGTAAATACTTCACCTGGGCCTGAGGCTTAGCCCGCCTTCTTGTCTCAAGCATGTCACGAGAACTCCCCGATTACGGCAAAGCGTGATTCATCAACATTTACTGGAAGCGTAGATTATTGCAACAGGGATCATTGGTTGGTGTGGTGTACTGTACCAATACAAACTTTTGAAAAGCGGTTCTCAAAAGAGGAAATGTTGAGAAGTTGTGGTGACATAGCAGTGTGCTGACGCAGGATCAGAGAAGCATCTTGGAACAGGAGAGGAGTGGGATGAAACAGCCACTGAATGCGGAGGAATCTTCCAATTCTGTGTGAAGAGCAAAATAGGTTCCAAAATGACACGCTGACTGCACGTATTACAGAGAGGAGGTGTGATCCAGCTTGGGTCACCAAGTATAATGAGGGCATTAAAAGATCAGCCCCTATGCAAAACCAAAACAGGAATGTTGTTTGCTGCTTGCTGTGGAGAGTCACTCACGGTCAGTGGTTGAAAGTAACTGAATACAAATACTTTGTGATTGTACTTCAATTGATTTTTTTTTAGGTATCCGTATGTGAGTATTTGCTATTCTGATGTGCCAAGTTATCAAGATGAACAATCTAAAATTGAGCCGCATTTTACTCAAAGTACAGAAAGTATTTCTACTTCAGTTTTTTTTTAACACACGTGTAAGTCTGTACCACAACTTAAGTACAGTCGATGAGTACTTTTGCCACCTCCGCTCACAAAAGTATATTTCCAAACTGCACCTTTTTACTTTTACTTACCGTAATTAAAGAAGTGTTTGTTTTTTTTTAACCGAAGAATGTGTGCTTCTACTTAGGTAAAGAAAGTAACTGCTATTGCCATCTCTGCTTGATGTCATTTGTGGACTTTGTTACGGAAATACATTTCAGAGTCTGTGCTTTTTTTTTTTTTTTTTTACACTTATGTAAAGGAGACAAATCAGTACATCTCCTTTTACCAGAGTCTTTTTTTAACACAGGTATCTATCTGTGTGAGTACTTGTGCCACCTCTGCTCGCAGTGGGGAAACAACATGTGCTTTGAGTGAGCTTCTTTCACAACATTGTGAAATACCTGAGTTGTGTGGTTGGTATCTTCCATGACCAAGGAGTGTGTGCAGTGATATCAAGAGGAAAAGTCATGCTCTGCCCGCTTGGTCCATTCCGCACCTTGGCTCCTCATCCACCCAGATGAGATGTTACATAAGAGCCGACATTGGATGGTAAAACTCCATTGATCAGAGCCTCGTTCTGACTGACACTTTGTTACATAATGTTCTCTCATTGCTCTTTATTGGGGTAATCAGCATTAGGTCAATAATAATAATTAAAACAAGTTCATGGGGGCTACTTTTTATGGCTTCCCATATGACCCATAAATCATCTTGGTGTCAAACATATGGCCCATGGGCCAAAACCGGCCCACTCATGGTAAATCTGGCCTGCGGAAAAATTTGAAAGTAAAAAAAAATGAATTACTACTTTAACAGCCCCGCAATTGCATGTTTACTGTATAGACTTTGTATTTCGTTGACAGAGAAGGTGATCAATTTCTTTCTTATACACGCAAAATAGTTCTTATTTAAGTTTGTGTCATCTAGGAGTCAATTTAGATTTGGAGAATTATCTACATGTAGTCAAATGGAGTGAAAATGATTCCTATGTCTTTATGAGTTGATTTTTTTTTCCCATTCCTAACACCTGTGACTTCAGCAAGCAATGGAGGCCGACACCCCGTGAGTGCCATCACAATTTTATGATGCATAATAATGACTTAACAAGCTTTGGTACTTAGTATTCAAAGTCGAGTATTCAAATGTAAATGCTTATATGGTCTGAAAAAAAATGATGCATCCTGATTTATTTTAATTAATTATGCTATTATTTTAGTGGTTCGACTCACTTCATCTCATATTATGCTGCATGGTACCACTGAACTACCAAGACTTTGAAACCCCTGCTATGTATTGTATGCAGTGACAAGCCGACTTGGGAAAGAATCATTCATCCGTCCATTGTCTGAGCCGCTGATCCTCACGAGGGTTGCGGGTGTGCTGGAGCCGATCCTAGCCATCTGCGGGCACTGAGCGGGGGGACAACCTAACTGGTTTCCAGCCAATCGCAAGAGACGCGTAGACCAACAACCATTCCCTCTTACAATCACCACTAGGGACAATTTAAAGTGTTCCATTAACCTACCATGCATATTTTTAGAATATGGGAGGAAACCGCAGTACCCGGAGAAAATCCACACAGGCACGGGGAGAACATGCAAACCCCACACAGGAAGGCCGAAGCCCAGAATTGAACCCAGCACCTCTGCACTATGAGGCACACATGCTAACCAGTTACCACCATGCCACCCGGGAAACAACCAAAATAAAGGAAAGTATGTATGCCAATTGAGATATTTTGAAAACAGCCAACCGGTGCCATGCCTCCAGTGGTTTGGTTTGATAATAACAAATACTGCCTGCACACAAGCAGGGTGCTGAAGACTGTGCTGCTGTCAAATGCAACGGGGAAGAACAAGAGGACAGATACTGTAGTGTAGTGGTCACGGGCCTCTGCTCTGACTGTCTGCAAGTATCATTTGCATGATAGAAATGTCAGAAATGTCACATCGAAACTGACACAAGCGTCAAGAAAATGAATATCAAAGGGTGGAAAGCACACACCTACGGCAATTTGGATCAACAGATGAACCAAATAGCTGCTGTGCTAGAAACCAAAGAAAGAACAAACTTTAGACTATATATTAATTAAAGGCAAAAGATTAAATTCTATCATTACCATGGGAACCATCATAGATTGATTTGCTTGATATTATAAGAGGGCATTAATTTTACATTATGTTTATTCTTGGAGTGTTGTAGAAATGAACTGTGTCATTCTGTGCGCTGTTTCTAATCTTTTGAACCGCTCATGTGACAAAAATATAACTGCATTTTCTGTAGAAGGTGCGTGTGAATGCTGAAGAGCTGATGCTCAACTGAAATGCCGTGGAATTAATTGCATTTGGATGGAATGTCAATTTTTTGTTTTAAATGGGGAATTTTAACATCAGGAATTGAATGTGATAAATAGTTCCCACGATATCCTGAATGAACAACTGAGCCACAAAGTACTATCATGGGCTAGCCTCTTTGTGTGAACTAAACTAAACCCAGATTTCACAGTGAGTACATTTGTGAGACAAAATCATCATTATTTCAGTATATCAGTCATTCTCAAAATGGAGCACATTTTCTGCTGTCCGCCCCCATTCCATTTCAAAACATCAGTGCACAAAATACAGATACATGCACACGTATAAATTGCTGCTGTCCTAGGCCAAAAATGTAACTTTTGCCCCAATAAAAGTCATTCCAAATAGGTCTTGAACACCTTCTAAAATTGCTTTTTTTCCATTGTCGCTCCCTCTTAAATATCAAATATGACAGATCAAATAAGTTGTACATTTTTTTGTCTCCATTTTTTTTTTATTCGTGTCTTCATTGTAAACATTTTGATTTATCCCACACATATTTTGAATAATAGTAGTGAGAACCGAAAAGTTGTGTCACTCAACGTCCATGCAAGCCTGCCACTCAAACCTTGTAGCCATCTCAATGAAGAGAAAAAAGTGAGCTATGCGACTCAGCAGAAATGACATTATCAAGCTAGTTGGACTGACCCAAGGCTTACTCCTCTTCTATTTTTAATATTTTTTTCAACATTTATGTCAAAAAAAAAAAAAAATCAAAATAAAAGGACCCAATTCTGGCATTACTCAGTCATACTTTTAGTGACATTTTTTTTCAATGGTGGTGTGCCGTCAGATTGTTTTCTTGTAAAATATGTGCCTTGACTCAATAAAGGTTGTGAAACACTGGCAAAGTGAAAGTGCAGCATTGAACACAAATGGTAGTAGGTCTGACACACTGGCAGGCCAGGCCATACACAGAGCAGTCTCCTCCCCTCTCTGGCCTGGCCTATATTAAGTCTCCATTGAGCTCCACCTCACAAATAGAGACACATGGAGTAGGATAACACATCGCCAATGCTCTGACAGTACCTTCATACATTTACTGGATGTCTACTGAACTGACAGCTCTGTACCTGTCTAACTACCTGCTTGCACTGTTGGATGCATTAATTTAAGTGGACAGCTCAGTGAGAGACCATGTTATTGTGCCGGTCACATCGGGAGAGCCTCAACCTCGGTAAGTGGCCATATCTGGCGTGAATGAATGTGATGCAACATCAGTTATTCAGGAAAATGAGTGTCACTATAAAGCGGGAGGTTCAGGTGCTCCTTGAGTGTCAATATTTGTGTTTGAAAGACTGCGCCACTGTCGACAAATGATGATGCGTTGGTCAACAGCGTCACACAAAAGGTCAATTTGCGTCCCTACGTCAAAGAAGGGTATTGATATTTTGTCACATGTATGGGTGTCAGTGCACCTGCAGGAAGAAAAAGGGCCACAAAATGCATCATACTAAAAAGTTAAATACAGGGGAACTGTACTTGAAAATTTTTTTTAAATGGACTGCCGATGCAAATCTAAAAAAAAGTTTTTCTTGGATAACGTAAAAAAGATGAACATTAGATAATTATTAGATGTAAAACAGATAACATTACCTCTGTCCTTAAATACAGGATTTTTTAACTTGTATGATTTATTTAAAATGTCCTACACCTAAAAGTAAAATAAGAGTTTTACACAAATAAATATGTTTAAAGCAAGCTGTTTAAAGGTATTAAATGCAAATGTATTGTACAGTACTGTAAAAGTTAAAAACAACTGGACTGCACTTAACAAATGAGCTATACCTAATTAAAAATGACAAAAAAAAATTAAAGCCACAGTCACATTGTGCACAATTTCAACATTCAATTTAGTACTGTAGTTGCTTTGCAAACCACGACCACACGCTAAGAAACAATGATCTACAGCACTCCAGTGCCAAGACATCTTTCCTATAAATCTGACTTTTTAGTTAAGAGTGGCGCTTCAATCCACTGCATTCAATATGTAACAAATGTCAGCCGTTTTGCAGCTTGTACAGTTTTTTACATTTCTCCGATCAGAATTGTCATTTGTAAAACAGTAAGTGCATTTCTCAAAATAGTACAAATGGCAAAACATAATTTTCTTTCTCAAAATCCTTATTACATCTCCCAAAAGGAAATATTTGTGTCATTGAACATGTCAGTGCCATCAGAATGACAAGTCTTTGTGTCATTGTGTACGGATATAACAGTCAACTTGGTTAGTCATGTTATCAATGTAACACTTTACTCGGGAAGGATGTTCAGATGTAAACCGCCACTTAGGTTTGGATGACAAATTCAGTATTCTAAATTGAATGTTATACCTTTTGTGTATGTGGAAGATTGCAAGACACTGGGTATCCACTTTTCCCTTTTACTGTTTGCACTTTATTTGTTGACAAACCATCTTATCGTGACACAAAAAGGAAGAAAAAAAAAACAACACTGCATAGCACAAAGAAAAGGACAATCAAAAAATGTACAAATGTAAATTTAAGATAATCTCCCAGGAAATTTGTATATACAACACTATATGAATTACACTGCTTCCTTTGAGCCCCAAATTCTCATCCACATTACAACAATTAGCTTCACTTGCTAAGCTGTTTCAGAAAACTGGTTGATCATTGGCTGATTCCCTTTGTTAAAAAGTCAAGATTCAGAAAAAAACAAGTCTAATGGAAATGCACAGAAACATGCTTGACATATTGAACACCCCTATGCAATGAACTAATGCCAAAATGTTGTAGGGTGTGAAACAATTCAAGAGAAATTCAACAGAATAAACGTCGATCAACAGGGCAGAAGCAACTGATAATGTAAGAAACAACAGAAAATTGTACATAATCTTTTGCATTGGAGGTAACAAAGCAGTTGCAACTTGTTTAAAGAAATGAAAAACTGTTTTTTATGTGCACATGTGAGACAATGATGGGATGAACAAGTAATTTTGAGATTTTCAATTCTGATCTGAGAAATTTACCAAAGCAACTGAGAACAACTGTCGCAAGAGAGATATCTGATTAACTGCGATGGAAATGGTTGAGAAGTTTTTGTTTCAGCTTGGGAGCGTGTTGGTAAGCGGGGGGCCTCCTGCCTAGTGTGACCTCAAGATAAAGAAAAAAATCGGACTGACTTTCGTTGGGGGGAAAAAAAAATCTAATCTAAAAACGTGACTGTGTTAATCAATTTTATGTCTTGTTGGAAAGCGATACCGACATACAACACCAGCTGCATATCCATCCATCCATCCATCCATCCATCCATTCATTTTACCATACAGCTCATGCTATTCAGGGTCATGTACAGCTTGACCCTGTCCTAGACGACTCAGAACAAAAGGGAGATTGGTGGTCAATCAATTTCAGGTCACATATAAAGACAAATGCATTTCCAACTCTCATTCACACTGACAGTAAATGCGAAATTAAATTATGAGCAAGAGAGGGTGTGTGTGTGTGTGTGTGTGTGTGTGTGTGTGTGTGTGTGTGTGTGTGTGTGTGTGTGTGTGTGAGAGAGAGAGAGAGAGAGAGAGAGAGAGAGAGAGAGAGAGAGAGAGAGAGAGAGAGAGCAGACATGTAGATGGATAAAGAGTAAGAGGCGTTTATTCCAGACAGAATCGGGTGCAGCTCTTGCAATGTGACCTGCACTGCATTTACATGTCATTTGAACGTAGCACGTAGCATGCCTGCATGCATGCGTCTGTTACATAACCATGCACCCAAGTGAAAATAAGCCATGATGAGGTTAAAACACCGTCTTAAAGTATACTGTCAACATCACCTCAACAGCCAAATTAGACATGCTGGATATGCCTTTAACCCTTTCAGGGACACCAGTTACTACAGTGGACAGCTTATCATATTATCAGGTTATAGGGTGCATGAAAGGGTTAAATCTGGAACACTATTTTAACATTCATTACATATCCTTGATATTCATCTTAAGGTCCATTTTAGTGTGTTTTTTTTATCCTCACTGGTAACATAAATCAGCGCACATGTAGGCCGACGGTGTTTTACTAGTAACATTTTCCAGCTGATAGTACCACTTGCAGCCTAGTAGAACAACCTTTACATTGAATATCAAGGATATCTAATAAATTTTCCAACAGCTTTTTGGAAAACTATTTGAGCGTTTACTCAATATCTGGACCATACCCCAACTACATGTTACTAGTTGGGCAATTCTGTAGAGTACTTGACAGCTAATCGGAAATAGTAGCAAAGTGCTGAATGTTAACTTGTAGAATTCTATAATGTAATGTCATTAGGAGTACTAGTGTACACGCAGTAGTGCATCTGTCCTACTAGTATGCCTTCGCTGTCCTATTACATAGTCATGAGAAAAGTTACTCGTGTAAGACAGCCTTTCTTCTCGCGTGCCATATTCATTCAACTAGTGCACGGACTTGTCATACAAATGAGAACAAGGAGGATACTAGTCCATGGAGTTTAGGCTGGATAACAAAGATATTGAAAAAATTTTCAAAAAGCTTTCAAGATAAGACAATTCAACACACGAGTATAATGCACTAGTAGAGAGACCCTATGTATAGTAGTAGTATTATTATTTTTTGCACATGACAGCCTTCCAATGAGCCTCGTAGGGTTATTAGCACAGCACAGTAGTTTGCTAGCAAGGATTAATTGCATACTAGAAAGCCAAAAGTTGAACTAGTGGTGGCAAAAACTTCATTAGTAAGAAAGAACCATTGCACAAATGTATCCTACTGGACAATTCGGCTGCAACACACGAGCAGAATGACTGTTTCTTACTCATAATGTTTTCTCAACTGCTGCCTTGAACTACTGTATGACATTTCTGCACACTAATAGGACAAATTTGGCATACTAGTTGGACAACTGCATGTTACCATGGAGGCACAACAACTAGTGGACATTTTGGTGCGACTAGTACAATCCAGGAGGCCCAAGTGTGTGACACCGGTGTACTACTTAGACCTAGTAATGTTGCTAATGCACCACAGTAGTTTACTAGGTTTAATTGCTTACCAGGAGGCCAAAAGTGGCACTACTAGAGGGAAAAAAAATTCTAGTTGGATGAGTTTCTGGTAGTGTTACCCTGGTTGTTCTATTAGAGCACCAAACTGTCTTACATAGTGAGGAAAAAGAGAGCACTAGTACATAGACCTCAAGGTTACTATCAAAGGTGGAATAAATGTTCAAACAGCTTTCCATCAATAGACACAACTATAAGATGCTCATGCTTTCAACAGCTGTCCATGCAGTATTAAACATTGCTCTAAAATGGACCAATAATATTTGCCGCATCCCGTGCAGAATCTAGTGGGCATGATCAAGCCGAGCCCATCCCAGCCTGCATAAGGCTGAGGCATCTGCATTGTGGAGCACATGCTCGCTCACATGGTGTGCCTTGCGGATGCTGCTGATGCTGCAGCTGTGATGTGTGCGCCCTTCCATCCCGCCCAGCTCATGTCCATCCATCCATTCACAGCGTTCACGCCGACACCAGTGCAGCGTGAATGAAATGAGAGATGATTAGAGCAAACGCAAGGCTGGCTTTCGTCATATTTGTTTTCGGTGGACCTAACCTTTGGATTGGATGGTGATTGAAGAGTAAGAGCCTGTGCATCGTGCATGCTGCCAGAGGGATTTTGTAAATCCGCCAACTGCAGTGAGTGTGTGTGTGTGTGTGTGTGTGTGTGTGTGTGTGTGTGTGTGTGTGTGTGTGTGTGTGTGTGTGTGTGTGTGAGACCTGCATGGGGGATTTTCCTCTTTGACACACTGCTAATACAATATTCCTTCATTTTAATCTGACAACATTATAAGCCAGCGGGAAGCAAACAAACATATTTTTGGGACCTCAATCATTTGGAACAGCAGAGGAAGCACATTGCGACATTATTTTGCAGCAACAATTCACATGCTTTAAAACACATCCAAATGCTTAAAAGCAGAATTACCCGAGTAAAGAAGTAAAGAAAGCGAGAGGAAAACAGTTTTTATGCTAAATAACAAATGGTGACACTGATTCCTGAATGTACGTAACTGACAGCAGCAAGAGCCAAACAATCTTGCCAGTAGCAGAGTAGCACTGCTGTCAGTCTCATCCAAGGAGGAGGCTGTAAAGATGAAGTGGAGAGTGACACAAATGACACTTATCTTTATGTATTATAGCAGTTAAAATGCTAAACTACTTTAGCTGATGATTGATTATTGATGTTGTTAATTACAGTAAAAGTGTTGCATGATTTATTTTTTTAGATAATGGGTTTTAAGGACTTCATTGAAGACTTTGTGCTGAGGTGAAAATGTAAACTTTGTCAGTTAATTTTGTGAATGAGTTTGCCTTCGGTCCCCAAATGACTAAATACTGTACACCCTTGTTCTTGACGCTGCTTACATTATTGTCGGATTTTTTTCTCCATTCACTACTGTACTGTATTTGTGCGACCAAAATATGATGTAAAGCAATCCAATGGAGGGAGAAAAAAATAAGTTAAACTAGCTCAGTAGCTTCTGCTGACTTTCTAAATAAAAGCTCATATTCAGTAAGAGGGGACTAAAGTTGAATATAGTATACAGTCGTAAGATTATACTGGCAGAGGCAGTTGTATTATGTTTTGAACTCAGTGTTAAATTCCACAAAGTCATTTTGTTCTGCAAGAATTTGTAGTGAAAAGAAAATCTCCCATTGGATTTTGAATCAGGCGTTGTCACGTGGCCGCAAAGCCCCATCCATGGTGTTGCGTTCAAATTCACTCAAAATCCTGATACCTTCCTAGTGTTATATAGAACGCGTGTGTGCGCGCGCGCGCGCGCGTGTAAGCGTGTGTGTGTGTGTGTGTGTGTGTGTGGCGTGTGCGCGCGCGCGCGCGTGTAAGCGTGCGCGTGTGTGTGTGCGTGTGTGTGTGTGTGTGTGCGTGTGTGTGTGTGTGTGTGTGTGTGTGTGTGTGTGCGTGTGTGTGCGTGTGTGTGTGTGTTTCTTGGAGGGGGGGGGGCTTGAAAGATATGGCGTTATCGTGACTCAACGAAGAGACATTCAAATGTTAAAATGCTATAAACCTACACTCGCACACACCCACGCACACGCACACACGCGTGCACACGCACACACTGACGCACTCACGTGCACGCAAGCATGCATGCACACACGTTGGAATTTGTATTGATATTATTACAAAAAATAACAACATGACAACATAAGCGATTATGCAACTGGACGTTTTATATAAAGAAGCAAGCGGCTATTTGATCAATTCATGTTTTACTACCTTTTAGTCCCGTGTATTTCTGTTAATTTCCATAGATATCTGTCAATTCCCATGAAAAGTTTCCAATTCTCAACAGTTATACAATTTTACAGGCCTGTTTTAAAAACATTGCTTTCCTTCATGCCCGAAGGTGAACCGGAGATATTTGATATATCCTACAGTTACTGAATGTATCCTTGTGACGTCACGTCGCCGTTGGTGTCTGTGCGGTGCTAAATGGCGATTGCATTAGGTCGGCCCAGCTCCGGCATCGGAGCTCACAAAAATCCCCGCCGGTCCTGATTAATTCCATCCATCTCGATTCCAATGCGACGAATACGAACTGTGAGTATTCCGCATACATTCAGAATGTTGCTGTTATCTTCGATGGGTCGTTTTGAGAGTCTCCTCCAACGTCGGCTTTGTGCTGGTGGGACAGCTTGTACCACGTAGTCAGTCGCCTCGCCAACAACGGCCCCTTTGTCTATGCTGTGAGCTTTTCCGTTCAAATGACACTCAACTCGTCGTCTTTACACGACACTCTATATTTCATTCAAATCCGTAATGTGTTTTGAGACTGTGGGGGGGTCTTTTATAGCCATAATTCGACAATTATTTCCACACAGTCTGCGATCAAACGAGCTAATGTTCACCTTTCATTTTTTCGCCAGTTGGTCTTATTCTCCGCCAATATAAACTTAGGGTGTCAAATCCTTGAATAGCATCTTGTAGATCAGCGAGCCCATGATTATTATTTCATGAGAGGTTGCTCGGTGGATATCAAACAGTTCAAAGGAAACCCATAGAGAGGCGACTAAGCCCAAGCGGGCGGGTGCGGTTAGCTGCTAGTAACGAAGTACGAACACAAAACTACAAAATATCTTTTCTGAAATACTGTTAAAACGGGCTCATTTGTGGTAAACGTACTGCAAATTGTTTATAGTATGAACAATGTTGTAGTAAGTAGTCAATGGATACTTCTAATAAAGTGTACTATTTTGCATGAGTGCAAATATATTACGTTACTGCATTTAAGTAGGTTTTTCAAATGTCAGTATTTGAGCATTTATGTAACTGATTTTCAAATGTCAGTATTTGAGCATTTATGTAACTGAATGTGACTTTTACCCCCCATTTGAATACATATCTGTACTTTCCAGAGGTTTATCGACAGTTTTTTTGTAGTTGACCTCATTGCAATTGAATTGAAATCAGTTAATCGCTGATATATACTACTGTAGCACAGTACACCTTACTCACATTGGTGCTTCCCCGAGTGTCTGTACTTTTACTTAAGTACAGAGTACTTTTCCTACCATTGTCCTTGTGTGAACCTGTCATGTGTTTTTAATATTGAGCAGTTGCTTTAACATTGTAATTTGTGGTTTACGTTTTTCTTTTGTGTTTTCTCTTGTCTCTCAGGTTATAGCCAAGTAAAATGGAGGATAGTTTCGATTGTGACTGTGGCGAACTTGAGCCACCTGATCACTGAGGCTCACAATTAACGCCCCAATCTAAAGGCCAGGCTCTCTAAAGTTTATTTTGATCAGGTCACGCCATAGGAAATTTATTCAGAAAGGAGAAAACAAAACAAAAAAAAAAAAACCACAAAAAAATCTTAAGGAAAAAAAGTGCAAATTGGCACGTTTTCCATGAAGCTGCTCAGGACCAGTTATACACTGAATGTATACCACTGTGAGGATGCAACTATGTGCTTTTAGAGCCTAACATTGCATTTTTAATTGGCCTCAACATTCATTCCATATATTTCTTTAAGCGGAAAAGCTGCTCTGTTAAGTAGAGCCACCCACCAGGAGTGGTGTTAGATTTTTAAAATTGTCCTCACACAAGATGAAAAACTTTAACTACACCTTAGTCTGACAGTGACGGCTGCACGGGGGAGGCGGTGGAGGACAGTTCGCTGTGAGGGAGTTGGCTCCATTTGTGGGGGGGCATTAGCTCAGCACCTGAAGCAGTATTTGGAGGGTTGAAGTGGGGTCTTCTGTTGGTGTTAAAGTTATAGTAAAGCCAGCAAGAGAGGCAACATTAGCAGAGCGCCACGTAAGAAGTAGTCATCATGGCCGAGAAGTTTGAGTCACTGATGAACATCCACGGCTTCGACCTGGGCTCTCGTTACATGGACTTGAAGCCTCTCGGCTACGGAGGAAACGGCCTGGTTTTCTCAGCGGTTGACACCGACTGTGACAAGCGTGTGGCGGTGAAGAAGATTATCCTGACTGACCCCCAGAGTGTCAAGCATGCCCTGCGAGAAATTAAGATTATCAGGCGCCTGGACCACGATAACATTGTCAAGGTATTGTGTGTGTGTGTGTGTGTGTGTGTGTGTGTGTGTGTGTGTGTGTGTGTGTGTGTGTGTGTGTGTGTGTGTGCGCGCGCTCTCAAACTTGTGTGATGTAGTGGTACCTTGACTTGTAACCACTCCAATTTATGAGTTACGGGAGATACTCATTGCTAGGTGTTTGTTTTGTTTTTATGAGTTCCGAGTGAGATTCAGGTACACTGCCGCTGCAATGGACATACATGTAAAATGACAATACTTGCAAATATTTGTGGGCAGACGCTAACACTCGACCAAACAGCATGAGCACAGCTCTTGATGGCAGCCACTAGGGCACAATCCTGAAAGGAAAACATCGACGTCAGTGTGAGATCCACACAATGAAACGGGAGCTAGCATCGTGGAATACGTAAAAACATACAGTCGCAATCCAAGAACTGTATTTCTGACCGATACGGTTTACTGGTAGTCAGCTGGAAACTGCTCCAGTGGAAAATAAGCACTACATTACGATGAATATCATACAATACAATACATCTTTCTTTGTACAGTGCTTTCATAACAGCTGCAGCTGTAACAGAGCGCTGTGCAGAACATTTAATATAAAATCAAAATATTACAGGCGAAGAGTAGACAGCTGCAATAAGCATTGAATAGCGTCACAGAGTGGCAACTTGTCCCAGCATACAGTTATTACTCAAGCTTGGTCATGGAACAAATTAATCTTCTGTCTCAAGCTACGACTGTACTTGTTGCAGAGATGATGTCATTGATGACCCACTTCCTCTTTCGCCTCCTTTTCTAGGTTTTCGAAACGTTGGGCCCCAGTGGTCGCAGGCTTACCGAAGATGTGGTGTCCCTGACCGAGGTCAACTCGGTCTACATAGTGCAGGAGTACATGGAGACGGACCTCTGTCAACTGCTGGAGCGCGGCCTTCTGTCCGAGGGCCACGCCAGACTTTTCATGTACCAGCTCCTCAGGGGGCTCAAGTACATTCATTCTGCCAACGTTCTTCATCGCGACCTCAAGCCCGCCAACCTGTTTGTCAACACGGAGGACCTGGTGCTGAAGATCGGGGATTTTGGTCTGGCCCGCATCATGGACCCTCACTACTCGCACAAGGTAAGGAAGAAGCGTGTAGTCAGTGGGACCAAAAGGCAAAGTGCTTCCCATTGCCGTGCAGTCTTTGTTATCACGCAGTAATGTGGTCATCCCAGGGGTGACGCAGTTTGAGAGCAGGAAGTCAACAAGACGGGGTGCGGTTCCGTGAAGTAACGCTTCAGTTCTGGACCACGATAACATTGTCAAGGTATTGTGTGTGTGTGTGTGTGTGTGTGTGTGTGTGTGTGTGTGTGTGTGTGTGCGCGCGCTCTCAAACTTGTGTGATGTAGTGGTACCTTGACTTGTAACCACTCCAATTTATGAGTTACGGGAGATACTCATTGCTAGGTGTTTGTTTTGTTTTTATGAGTTCCGAGTGAGATTCAGGTACACTGCCGCTGCAATGGACATACATGTAAAATGACAATACTTGCAAATATTTGTGGGCAGACGCTAACACTCGACCAAACAGCATGAGCACAGCTCTTGATGGCAGCCACTAGGGCACAATCCTGAAAGGCAAACATCGACGTCAGTGTGAGATCCACACAATGAAACGGGAGCTAGCATCGTGGAATACGTAAAAACATACAGTCGCAATCCAAGAACTGTATTTCTGACCGATACGGTTTACTGGTAGTCAGCTGGAAACTGCTCCAGTGGAAAATAAGCACTACATTACGATGAATATCATACAATACAATACATCTTTCTTTGTACAGTGCTTTCATAACAGCTGCAGCTGTAACAGAGCGCTGTGCAGAACATTTAATATAAAATCAAAATATTACAGGCGAAGAGTAGACAGCTGCAATAAGCATTGAATAGCGTCACAGAGTGGCAACTTGTCCCAGCATACAGTTATTACTCAAGCTTGGTCATGGAACAAATTAATCTTCTGTCTCGAGCTACGACTGTACTTGTTGCAGAGATGATGTCATTGATGACCCACTTCCTCTTTCGCCTCCTTTTCTAGGTTTTCGAAACGTTGGGCCCCAGTGGTCGCAGGCTTACCGAAGATGTGGTGTCCCTGACCGAGGTCAACTCGGTCTACATAGTGCAGGAGTACATGGAGACGGACCTCTGTCAACTGCTGGAGCGCGGCCTTCTGTCCGAGGGCCACGCCAGACTTTTCATGTACCAGCTCCTCAGGGGGCTCAAGTACATTCATTCTGCCAACGTTCTTCATCGCGACCTCAAGCCCGCCAACCTGTTTGTCAACACGGAGGACCTGGTGCTGAAGATCGGGGATTTTGGTCTGGCCCGCATCATGGACCCTCACTACTCGCACAAGGTAAGGAAGAAGCGTGTAGTCAGTGGGACCAAAAGGCAAAGTGCTTCCCATTGCCGTGCAGTCTTTGTTATCACGCAGTAATGTGGTCATCCCAGGGGTGACGCAGTTTGAGAGCAGGAAGTCAACAAGACGGGGTGCGGTTCCGTGAAGTAACGCTTCAGTTTCCCTTCTAAGAGAAGTGAAGCTTTTGAAAAACACATTGCTAATCATATCTTGGTTCACACGAACGCGCTATTTAAAAAAACAAAAAACAAAAACAATGTGGTTTATCATTTACCCAGTGCATGGAAATGCACAAGTAACTGAACTCTTGTTGTCAGTTGAATATGTTGTGTTTTGTTCTTGTTTTTCAAAATGTTAAATGATGTCTTGGTCCTTTGGGTTTTTGGCAACTGATGCACAGTTGAGGTGTGGAAAAAAATAAGACCACTGCAAACTCAAACAGCAGACAACTGAGACAATTCAAAGACTAATGCTGCTTGTTGTGCTTGTCACAATCATAGAGACCGGTGTGGTTCATGCATAGCACGCGTATGCAAAATCCCGTAATTAAATGTTCAATGCATAATGTTCATGAAGTAGCTGGGGGGGGGGGGGGTTGTAGTTAGCTCTTATTTTAGAACCATTGTTGAAAATGTTTGAAAACAGAAGTTTTCAAACATTTGTCCTATTTTATTCAACTAATGCTAAACACCTTTTAACGTACATATTAAAGTATGGGTGGTCGACTGGTTAGCACGTCTGCCTCACAATGCAGAGGTCATGGGTTTGAATCTGGCCCTGGCCTTCCTGTGTGGAGTTTGCATGTTCTCCCCGGGACTGCGTAGGTTTTCTCTGGGTACTCCGGTTTCCTCCCACATTCCAAAAACATGTATGGCAGGTTAATAGAACACACTAAATTGTCCCTAGGTGTGATTGTGAGCACTAATGTGTGCCCGTGATTGGGTGGCAACCGGTACAGGGTGTACCACAAAATATGTTTACCGTGGTTGCGGTTTGCGAAAGGGCATCAAATGTGGGTCACCTTGTTTAGATACCTGAGCTAGAACAAAATGGATGTCCAGTTGATTCCTAACAGTTCCTTTCCTTACTTGGATATCTCTGTTCTCTTATGAGATGCTGGTTATGTTTATAAATTAAAATTCGAGGAGCGTGTTTTCTCTTGTCTGTAGATGTATAACAGGTTGCTTTATCTTTAGTATGAAAGGGAATGGAATGCCAAAGATGAAAGGCTTTTTTTTATTGGCCTTGTATGTATTGTTTGAAAGATGGCAGGGAGTGTGTGTGTGTGTGTGTGTGTGTGTGTGTGTGTGTGTGTGTGT